TTTTCCTTGGGTAAGGTAACAGGAAAGGTTCCAGAACAATCAGGAACTTTCTGGAAACAATTAAAGCAGACAGGCTGATTAGAACACCTGCAGCCAATCAAGAAGCTGCTAGAATCAATTAAGGCAGGCTAATCAGGGCACCTGGGTTTAAAAAGGAGCTCACTTCAGTTTGTGGTGTGGGTGTAAGGAGCTGGGAGTGAGAGGATGTGCTGCTGGAGGATTGAGGAGTATAAGCATTAATAGACATCAAGAAGAATGTCCTATGGTGAGGTTAAAGAAGGTATTGGGAGAAGGTCATGGGGAAGTAGCCCAGGGAATTCTAGCTGTTGTGCAGCTGTTCCAGGAGGCACTTGAGACAGCTGCAGTCCACAGGCCCCTGGGCTAGAATCTGGAGCAGAGGGTGGGACTGGGTTTCCCCCAAACCTCCCAATTGACCTGGACTGTGGGCCCTACCAGAGGGGAAGGTCTCTGGGCTGTTACCCAACCCACATGGTGAATCTCTGAGGCAAGAAAATCCACCAATAAGTGCAGGACCCACCAAGATAGAGGAGGAACTTTGTCACAGTGTATATGTTCTGACATCCTCATTGCATGTAGCTCTAATAGCATCTGTCAGCTGTAGTCCATGCTACTGCTTAGCATCTGTTGCATGCAGCAATACAATCTTAGGTTGGGATCATGTAGGATCAGGGGAAGTGATGTTGGGTTGGTTCACTCTTCAGGGGTGGGACAGAACTTGGTACTGCTGATCTCCAGCGTGAACAGTGAAGCTGGGTCATTACCCCTGAGTGCTCCGCTGAGCACCAGTATTAATTTAGGGTATGTCACCCTGCAAAATGTGTTCGCCTGGGCTGGCTAATTCTAGTTGCCTTAACTTCCTGGTTAAGGCAGTTGTAGTTCTAATGTAAGGTAGCAGGTAGACTTAAACACCAGACTCCCCTCTAGTCTTTGTCTTTGGTCAACAGATTGAGTTAAAACTACAACTGCCATGTCTGTGGTCATTAGGATTTTAACTTGTGGTAAGGACACTTTCTGTTGGTGTGAAAACACCATTAGTGTTCTCATGCCCTGGCCAAATTCTAACTCTTGTCACCACATTCTGCCAAGCTGAAACCGCAGAGGAAGACCAACTAGATTGAGAACACCCCGCATTGTGCCCTAACATGTTGCAGAGGGTTGTGGTGAGCTGATGGGACTGCCCATTCTCACCTGAGGGGGCAGTAAGTGTGCATGGATCACTGCTCTTATTGGCCAAATAAAGTCCCAGTACGCTGAGAGGTTTTGTACTCAACACTGCCCTCTAGAAACCAAGAAGGCTTATTTCCTCTTACCTGGTGTAGGCTCTTTTAACCTGTATTCCCAGCAGGTGTAGTTCCACACTGGTTACAGCTCTCTGGTGTTATCCAGGCCAGAGTTTTTGGACACACTGCAAGTTGAATTGGCTGACAGTGGACTTTGAGTTTATTATTTACAACTCTGTCAATAACTTAACAGGGTGGACTCAAGTTAATTGGCAGCCAACTCAAATTACAACAGGTCCTGAAACTGTGCACCTGTTCTAAAGAAAGCTGCACCTGTTTTAACTTAAGGTGCAG